TCCTCATATTGATAGGAGGACGGAACGTGAAGAACTCGAATCTGACCCAAGGCCACTTTGTCACGAACAAAGTGAATATCTATCTCAATGTTTTTTGTTCGTTGGTGCTGAACATGATTGTTGGACAAGTAGATTGCACTAACATTATCACAATAGACAATAGTGGCTCTAGTGGTGGGGTAGTGAAGCTCCAGGAGAAGATTTCGAATCCAGGAGGTTTCAGCGACAACATTTGCAACCCCGCGATATTCTGCTTCAGCACTAGATCGAGATATAGTACCTTGGCGTTTAGACGACCAGGATAATAGATTTTGACCAAGAAACACACAGTATCCACAAGTTGATCGTCGAGTTTTGGGACAACCCGCCCAATCAGCATCAGAGTAGGCAATGAGACAGCGAGAGGGCGTGGAATATAATCGTAGACCATAATCAATTGTTCCTCGAACATACCTTAGAACGCGCTTAAGTGCGGTAAGATGCGGTTCTCTAGGATCATGCATGAATAAACATATATGTTGAACTGCATATGTGAGATCTGGCCTGGTGAATGTTAAATATTGTAGAGCACCTGCAAGATTGCGATACAAAGTCGGATCAGAGACAGGTTGTCCAGTGTCATCCATCTTGGTCAATGTGTCAGCTGGAGTGTTAACAGGTTTTCATTTAAGCATGTTTGCTCTAGTAAGGATTTCGTGAGCATATTTCTGTTGTGATAAGAACATGCCATGAGAGTCACGAGCTATAGAAACACCGAGAAAATAATTAAGATCACCTAGATCTGTCATGGTAAATTCGGATCCAAGAGTGGTGATGATCTGTTGTATCATCTCAGATGAGGACGCTGTAAGAATGATGTCATCTACATAGAGTAGAAGATAAGCTGTGTGATGACCATGGTGATAAATAAACAAAGAATCGTCACATTTACTATTGGTAAAACCAGATCGCAACAAAAATTGTGCAAATCGTTGGAACCATGCTCGTGGTGCCTGTTTAAGACCATATAAGGACCTTTTAAGGAGACACACGTGATTAGGAAACCTAGAATCTCGAAAACCAGGCGGTTGATGCATATACACGGATTCCTGAAGATGCCCATGTAAGAAGACATTTTTAACATCAAGTTGGCACATTTTTAACATCAAGTTGGCGCACATGCCAATTTTGAGAGACAGCAAGAGAAAGAACTGTGCGTATTGTAGTTGGTTTAACCACCGGACTGAAAGTCTCATCACAATCTATCCTAGGTCTTTGACTACAACCATTAGCCACAAGACGAGCATTATATCGAGCTAAAGAACCATCTGCATGCTCCTTCTTTTTAAACAGCCAAATACAATTAACAATATTCGCATCAGCAGATTTCTGAACCAAAACCCAAGTTTTATTAGAGATAAGAGCATTAAATTCATCCTTCATGGCATTTAGCCAATTTGGGTCATTAATAGCCTGTAAGTAGTTTCGAGGAGTAGATGAGACAGATTGAGTGAGGAGATTAAGTTTACGGACATGTTTGACAATACCGTGACGAGAACGGGTGATCATAGGATGAGTGGAGGAAGTAGTTTGAGTGGGAAGATAACTAGATACCCTGGGGGGAGGATTTGGAGTTGGATCGGTAGAGATAGGAGTCGAAGTGGTGGTCTCGGTGGGAGAAGTGGGAATACCGAGACTAGAGATAGAGGTGTCAAGATTATGATCAGTAGGTAGGGATGAAATTGGAGAATAGAGAAATGTGGTAGCAGTGGAATTAGGAGTGTTTAATGAATCTAAAAAGGAATAAGATGGAGCTGAGTTTGGCGTGAAGGAACCAAATGGGAAAATAGTCTCGTCAAATGTAACATGACGCGAAAGAATGATTGAATTTGTATGAAGATTAAGACACCGATACCCTTTATGTTGATCGGGATACCCAAGAAAAATGCACGGAGTGGATCGGGGAGATAGTTTGTGATCAGTAGGGATGTGAGGATAACAAAGACACCCAAAAACATGAAGGTGAGAATAGTTGGGTTTTTTTAGAAATAACTTTTGATATGGAGATATATTTTTCAGAGTGGCGGTTGGTGTGATATTGATGAGCTAGTTGGCCATGAGAAGAGCTTCTGTCCAAAAAGGTGGAGGAAGACGAGCTTGGAATAGAAGAGTACGAATGGTATTGTTGATAGTTCGTATCATTCTTTCAGATTTCCCATTTTGTTGGGAAGTATAAGGACATGAGAATCGCATTTGGATGCCATGAGAATTACATAGGTTGAGAAATTGGTGATTGTTGTACTCACCTCCATTATCACACTGAAAGTATTTAATCTCAAATTGAAAGTGATTGGTGACATGAGACCGAAAGTGGACAAATTTGTCAAAAACTTCAGATTTTGCTTTAAGAGGGTAAACCCATAAAAAATGGGTGAATTGATCAAGAAATAACACATAATACTTAAAACCAGCATTGCTAAGGACTGGAGATGTCCAAAAATCAGAATGTACAATTTCAAAAGCAAAAGTAGCATTATTATTAGATAATTGAAAAGGTAATCGAACGTGTTTTCCCAACTGACACGACTGACATAACATAGAACTCTTATTGTCTTTACAAGGAATTAACTTTTGCGAAAATAACTGATTAAAAACATCTTGATTGGGATGACCAAGACGTTGATGCTAGATGGTTGAGTTGACCGAAACAAAAGCTTGAGGAGTAGGGAAGGTAACTGGATATAGATCGCCAGAACTATCACATCGGAGGAGTATTTGCTTGGTGAGAAAATCCTTCATAGAAAAACCGTAAGCGTCAAATTCAATAGAACACGAATTGTCACGAGTAAATTTACGAACAAAAATTAGATTTTTTATGATTTGAGGAGTGATAAGCACATTTTTAAGGATAAGAGGACGATACAGGTTGTAATGAGGAAGGACAGAGTGACTGGAATTACTTACAGATATTTTAGAACCATTTCCAACTAAAACCGAAGGAGAATTAAAACTATTATTTCGAACAAAATTGAGTATACATGCATTGGAGTGGAGATGAGAAGTCGCCTCGGTGTCCATCACCCATCCGTCATTCGAAGGATCATTAAGAGACATTGTATTGAACATCTCGGGCAAAGCGGTGGGATGATTTGGACTTGTTGGTGAAGGCTGAAACCAGTGCCATGGAGGAGGGGTCTGTTGGGCCGAGAATGCTTGTTGGGTGTTTGCACTTTGGGAACCAGATGGGCGACGCTGTTGTTAAGTCCATGGCGTTAACTGGGGCTGGTTCCATTGCTGTTGAGTAGGGCTTGGTAGGAGACCTGCAACAGCAACATGATTAACAGGATACCATCCAAAATTCCATCCCGGTGGTGTATGAAAATGTTGGCTGGAGTTGTGAGACCAATGACCACCACGACTTCCGCCGCCCCTGCCTCGTCCCCGACCACCGGTTCGACCACCCCGGTGGTTGAAATTTCCCCGACTAGAAGGATTATTAATGTTTTGATGTTGCTGTTCGGAAATCAAAACAGTAGGAGAAGAAGAAGTTGCATTAGAATTGGGTGGTGCAGCAATCTGTTTGAGGCGTTGTTCTTGATCCATGAGCATTGAACGAACTTTAAGGAATGAAGGCATGGGATCACCGTGACGAATGATTGTAGCAACATTCTCGAACTTGGGATGTAATCCATTGATAGTATAAATAACAATGTTCTTTTCAGGGACAATAGAATCAATATTATCAAGCATGTCTGTAATGGATTTGATTCGAGTGCAGTAAGAAGCGATATCAGAATCACCTTGAGTAATAGTGCGTAATTCATTGTCGAGTTGAATGATCTTTGTGTCTTTGTTGGTGCAAAATAGGTTCTCTAGATCACTCCACATCTCGTGAGCAGAACTTACCTTCTTGAGAACCATTTGAAGCAATGGCTCGGAAATAGTGCAAAAATCCACATCTGCACAATGGAATCAATGCGATTCCATTCATCTGAATCTGTGATCTGTTTCCCGCTAGGAGGCTTCAGATGATCAGCCACTCCAAAACCTGTACAGTGAGTCTGAAACAGCTTTCTCCATGCATCATAATTTAGTTTTTCAAGATCAAGGACAATAGGGATGGAAGCCTTGATGTTGGAGATACCATATGGCTTTTCAGAGGTGGGAACAACAGAACTTGATGCGTCTGGCATGATTCAAGAAAAAGGGATTGACAGAAGGAGAAGAATGAGAAGGAATCGACAGAAGGAGAAGGAGTAGCAGCTAGGGTGAGAAAGAATAGGAGGGCTCTGATACCAAGATAATTGGTATATTTCCCATAAAACGAACCCTTCTCATTAATCAACAATATATATTACATAATACAAGTATAGGGCCAGAATACACAAACTAATATAGGCCTAATAATACAGAATAATATACCCAGCATAATACACATTAACATATTTAACATGAAATGTTAGATTTCATATCATTTTATGTATCATCTCAACAGTTTTATAACAGTCACACGAAATCTATCATTTCAAAATTAATGATTATTTTTGTAATTCAATTAAAAGTTAGTCATTTCACAATATTTTTCATTTGTAATATCACATGATTTAATATTGAATTCCATATATTTTTAGAATTAACTTGGATTATCTATAATATAAACTAGAAGAGGAACTCTGCTTTGCATGGGGGCAGAGGATAGTTACACATTTATAAATGTATAATCAATTAAAGATTTTAGTTAACACGTATATTGAAATAGAGATCAACTAAATATCCGCTCTTCACATGTAATAATTTGATCTAGAAAATATACAAAAAAACCCTTCATCTCATTCACAAAGCCCTAAATAGAAATAGAGATCAACTAAATATCCGCTCTTCACATGTAATAATTTGATCTAGAAAATATACAAAAAAAACCCTTCATCTCATTCACAAAGCCCTAAATACGAGGGTATGGCTGTCTTTTCACTGGAAAACGAAAACCCTAGATTGGTTGAATCTGAACTAAAGAAGGGCAAATGCGCAGACCAATGAGGGTGTACAGTACAACTCACATTAGCGCACAATCGCCACGTGTAACGTCGCTAATAGACGGTGACGTGTCCACGTAACCGTATCCTCCCTATAAAAAAACCTAGTCTCCGTTCTCATCCATTTCTAATTCGTTATCTTTTCTCTCTCATAATACACACAGTGTATGTGTGAGACTGTGTGTTTATTACTCACAATTAACACTGATCTAGGGTTTCATATTACGAATCACCATTTCCTGTCTGCAAGTCGACCTGGAACTGATTTTATTACTGTTTATTGAATAATCATCGTTTTAGTTTCTCCTGTCTTGGCTCGAGATCCGGGCCAAGAGCAGTGGAAGAAGAGAAATCTGTTCGAGAGGTCTATCGCATTTGCTGTGGAATCGAATCTATCTTCTCTGTAAGTGAAGAGAGTCAGTTGATGGATCTATTTTGTAATCAATCGATTTGATTTGATAACGTTTATTGTTTCAGTTGCTTGATTCGCTGGTTGATACTTAGATTGGGAATTTTTTGTAGGATTTGCGACTGGGAATGGCGTCGCCACGTGAGGGGTTTTTGACTGATGAACAGAGGGAAGTGTTGAAAACAGCAACTCAGAACACGGAGATTTTGTCATCGTCGCCGAAATCGCCGTCATGGTTGATGTCTGAACATCAGATTAAAGCTCCGGCTGGGGAAAGGGCGCCAAACGTTGGGATTGCTGTCAGACATGTGCGTCGCTCGCATTCGGGAAAGTTCGTTAGGGTTAAGAAAGGTGCGTGTTATATTTTTTTTCTAGTTGGAGTAATTTTTTTAGGATTGCTATTTTGCCCAACTATAAAGTTAATATTGATGGTCGATTGCATCGTTAGGAAGTGTCACTATTTCGCTTTAACTCCTATGGCTTGTCTCGTCTTTTTGAGAAGATAACTCATATAGTTGCAACATTAGGCGCTGCACCGTGAATTATTTTTTTTACCATATCCGCATCCTTTGTCGATGTACTATCATGTTTTGGTTTTCCGCATAGAGCTTGTGATAAAATTGATTTTTCCTCTGGAAATTTGTCAATAAGATCTGCAATAGGCAGGTAGATGTTTGTTTTAAATTTAAGATCTGAGTGGTAAAACCAGAAGATGATAATAAGCGATAATGGTATTTGGATGAGTGAAATAGGTAGTTACTTGTTTCCATTTGTTACAATGGTGCCTTGAAAATTTGTACCCAAACATGATATAATTCAGCTCCATGTATATTTTGTGTATTTGTTTCAAGGCTACAGCTCCAACTTTTGTATATTTTCGTATTGAGCAAATCTTGGTGTCCTGTTTTTAGTATTGAATCATGATTTATAAATTATAGCCAATTCTTGTGTGTCAAATTGTCCTGCTTTCTGTTTCTTTCGCTTGTTGTAGTTATATATGTTTGTATTCTCTTTTACTGATTAATTCTACAAACAGATGGTGGTGGTGGCAAGGGTACATGGGGGAAACTACTTGACACTGATGGTGATGCTCATATAGATCGCAACGACCCTAATTACGATAGTGGCGAGGTAGCTAATTATGAGCATATTACTTGGATTTTTCAATCCTTTTCTGTTTCTTGTATCACATTCATATTCTTAGCTTTTCATTCATTGTAGGAGCCATACCAACTTGTTGGATCATCTGTCTCTGATCCTTTAGATGAATACAAGAAGAAGGTAGCATCCATCATTAACGAATACTTCACCACTGGTGATGTGGATCTAGCAGCTTCTGAACTTAGGGAACTCGGGTCATCTGAATACCATTCCTACTTCATCAAACGACTCGTATCCATGGCCATGGACAGACACGACAAAGAGAAAGAAATGACTTCTGTTCTTCTTTCAGCTCTTTATTCAGACGTCATCAGCTCCACACAAATCAAGCAAGGTTTTTTCATGCTTCTTGAATCTGCTGATGACCTGGCAGTCGACATACTCGATGCAGTTGAAATCCTTGCTTTATTCATCGCACGTGCTGTAGTCGACGACATCCTCCCTCCAGCATTTGTCACAAGGGCAAAAAAGTCATTACCCGAGTCGTCAAAAGGGTTTCAAGTTCTTCAAACAGCTGAAAAGAGCTACCTCTCGGCCCCACATCATGCTGAGTTGGTCGAACGTAGGTGGGGTGGTAGCACTCACGTAACTGTTGAAGAAGTCAAAAAAAGAATTTCTGATCTTTTAAAAGAATACGCAGAAAATGGCGACACTTCAGAAGCATGTAGGTGCATTCGACAGCTGGGTGTCGCGTTCTTTCATCATGAAGTTGTGAAACGCGCGTTGGTTTTAGCCATGGAGATGCGCGCAGCAGATCAGCTCATTTTGAAGCTGTTAAAGGAGGCATCGGAGGAGGGCCTGATAAGTTCTAGTCAAATGGTCAAAGGTTTCGCGCGTTTACGCGAGAGCCTCGATGACCTGGCGCTCGACATCCCATCTGCAAAATCGTTGTTTGACTCGCTGGTTGACCGTGCGGTTGCCGACAGCTGGCTCGATGCATCGTTTGTGAACTCGGGTGATGTGGCGATGACGGAGCGTGATGACATTTTGAAACTGAGACGTTACAAAGAAGAAATCGTTACGATAATACATGAGTATTTTCTCTCAGACGACATTCCAGAACTTATCAGGAGTCTTGAAGATTTGGGTTTACCTGAATATAATCCGGTGTTTTTAAAGAAGTTGATAACTTTAGCCATGGATAGGAAGAATCGTGAGAAGGAAATGGCTTCTGTTTTGCTGTCAGCTCTTCACATAGAAATCTTTTCAACTCAAGATATAGTTGACGGTTTTGTCCTTCTTCTGGAATCCGCTGAAGACACGGCTCTAGACATCCTGGATGCTTCTAACGAGCTGGCGCTGTTTCTTGCACGAGCTGTCATTGATGATGTGTTGGCCCCACTGAACCTGGAGGAGATTGGTGCCAGGTTGGCGCCGAATGGGAGCGGGAGTGAAACGGTCCACGTGGCGCAGTCGTTGATAGGGGCGCGACATGCTGGGGAACGGTTGCTGAGGTGTTGGGGAGGTGGGACGGGGTGGGCGGTGGAGGATGCAAAGGACAAGATTGTAAAATTGCTGGAGGAGTATGAGAGTGGGGGTGTTGTTGGGGAGGCGTGTCAGTGTATTCGTGACCTTGGGATGCCATTTTTTAACCATGAGGTGGTGAAGAAGGCTTTGGTGATGGCGATGGAGAAGAAGAATGACAGGATGTTGGATTTGTTGCAGGAGTGTTATAGTGAAGGGCTGATTACTACTAACCAGATGACCAAAGGGTTTGGGAGGATGAAAGATGGGTTGGATGATCTGGCGCTTGATATACCCAATGCTGATGCCAAGTTCAAGGCCTACTATGAGCATGCTTTGGTTAGGGGATGGCTGATTCCCGTGCTTAGTGCTGCTAATGGCGATGATGTTGTTGCTTAAGAAGATTTATGTGGATGTGGATGTGGATGATGAGTTGTACGTTTACACACACAGCACGATGTGACATGTTTTCATTATTTGTTGGGGGTGTGATGTATAAAAAATGGTTGTTTTTCGAAAACCTTAGTTAGCTCTCAGACTACTGGATCTTTGCATATCTTCTTGATACGATGATGAATGAACCTACTACTGTTTTAGCATGGTGTTGGGGATATACATATATTTGTATCTTTCTCTTTCCATTTTCAGATTATAGCTCGTATCTCATCTCGCCTTTGCTTCTATGGAAATTTGGTTTTGTGAATTTTAATTCTCAAACTCTTGTTTTTGACAAGATAAGATGAATACATTTTATTCCTTTAGTAAATACAAGAATTGTCAATTGGTTGTGCGATGGGTGGCAGGCATATCCTTCTTAGACGTACTGTTTTTGAAGAAGGGTTGTGCAGAATTCAAAATCAAATCTTTCTTCTGGTGGGTCTCCGATACAATCAAAAACCGCATCTGCATTTGCAAAGTCCTCATCTGCTGTATAACTGTGCAACAATTAAGATATATATATATATATATATATATATATATATATATATATATATATATATATTTTTAGAATCTTACTATGTATATATAGAGAGAGAGTCCGACTAGTGGAAAAGAGAAAAACATATTACCCACTCTTGGTGACAATACATGTCATTCCAGCAGCTTTTGCAGCTGCAAGGCCTATTCCACTGTCTTCTACAACCACACATCTGCAAAGTGCAAACACCAACAAAAAAATATCACTCCTATTTTCTAACACATTTTATTTAGTGCCATTGGCCATTGCTACTCTTTTCTTCTATTATCTAATTTGTCGTTAAATGTCTACAATACTGAATACCCTTTAATGTATTACATGAAAATACCATACCTTGATGGTTCAACTCCTAGAGTGGTGGCTGCTAAGTTGTAGATCGCCTGCGGAAAAGTATCAAGTATAATCCTTGTGAATACACACACACCAAGTAAAACTTTGAGGTAATCTTGTAGCAAATGAATATGACAAATGAGGAGGAGAATTGTACCGGATCGGGTTTTTTACGAGGAACCACATCTCCTGCAAAAATTTGGATCTTTGCAGCTCGCTCAGGCCCCAAAAGAAACGAGACAATAGCAGACACCTGGAGTCTCATTCAAAACACTATTTTTTACAAATAAACCAATAAAGAATTTGATGACACACATATACATGATTATATATGAGTGACATACCGCCTTTTCATTAGAAGTGCTGCAAACAGCAACTTTGACATCTTTGGCAAAAGCCTGATCAATCAACCTGTTACCAGTAGTTTGTAGTTTAATTAGAATTTAGAAAACATACCAACAACCGAATGAATTGTTTAAAACAAAACAAAAGCTGCTTACTTTGCAACTCCAGGACGAAGTGGCAACAACTTCTTCTCGATAAGGACCATAAACAGCTCGGTTTTTCGTTTGTGAAGTGACGCTATAAACTCTTTCCTTTCTTGTTCCCCTTTTGGCGCCTTCTCTGGCCATGCCGTTTGGTTGAAGTATGCCGTCATTCTTTCATTACATTGCAGAAAGATGTTAATATCATTAATCTCATACTGGACAAGGAGGGTAATTACGTCTTTTGAATTCCTGTCCCACCTTTTTAAATTAACAAGACAAAATTGCAACTTTTGTCTTATGGACTGTGACAGACTCAAGTTACTTCTTGTCCAATACTTGTAACAATTGCGGGATTTAGGGAGTGAAAACATGGTGTACCTTTCTTTTCCACCACCGATTTTAAGCAATTCACCATACAAATCTACATCCCATGTTACACCCAATTCTTTCTGTGCAATAAAATTTAACATCTAGTCAAATTCTTCAACAATACTTCCTATGTAAAAATTTTTTTTATCACATTTTGACTTTTACAAGTCAAAATCAGACTAATTCACAGCCTAAATCCGGATTGAATTATTGAGAAAGTGCTGCTGAAAGTGTATTATATATCATATGCCACAAACAGAACAATTTTTAACCAAATTCATGTGGATACTATACTAGCACTTTCAACCAGATTCTCACCGATTTCGAATCAGAAAAGAAAGAAGTTTACCCCAAAAGTCAAAATGTATCCGAGTAATTTAATTATGAGACAGAATCATACATACTTCCGCGAATGTGTCGTTGAAGGAGACGCGATGGCCGTCCTTCTCGGTATCAACGAGCACGCCGTCGCAATCAAAGAGGAGAGCTGAAGGAAGAACAGGTGAATCAACTGCCGAACATCTGAAACTACTCCCTCTCGATCTTCTACTACAATTGCGAACCAATGGATTCGAAAATTTCGATGTTGAAGATCGAACTGACACTTCTTTGCCGATTACAGAAGAAGGTTGCAATGAGGGTCTGACTTGATGGGTGCTACCATGGCGGGAGGATGTCTTGTTGGTGCTGAAATTGTCGGAGCAAAGAATAGAAGAAGCAGGAACGATGATTGATGCCATTTGGGGTTAGATGGTTGGTCTAATTTTAGTTGAATTTCATGCTTGTTTTTGATGAACTTGTGATGGGGAAATGGGATTTTGTGGAGGGAGAGGAAGGTATGTGCTTAAAAGTTAAAACTTTATCTTCCATGTCCATTGGATTTGCATAGCCACCACATACACCGTCCATGAGAATTGGTTGCAAAATGAGACAAAAGCACTTCCAACCTTCAAAATTATTTATTAACATTTTCATTAATTTTAAAAATATCATGTTTATATATCAATTATCTTGTGTATATATATATGTCTTAGAATTGATATAAAAGTAGCGTCTTGTCAACCCTCCTCTTTTTATTCGTATAAGAAAAAGTTATTTGGCTTAAATTCATTTTGACTTAAAGTTAAAATACTTTTTTTTTTTACTTTGACTACTTTATATATTTAATTCTTCTGTTAAGGAAAATCCTTTTTCACAATATTATTATGTTCGCCGAGTCACACGTCTAGACAACTTAGTTTACATGTTGGAAATCATTAAACACAGTCAATTTTATGTATAAGTTGATCATTTATAGAGTAATTCAAACTCGAATTAACCTTGTTCAATACGGAAATTGAGCTCGAGCTTAGTAGGGATTAACTTGAATTCTTAGTTAACATTTATAGTTCTTTATAATATGTAAGTGTTAGTGTATAAGTAATTATGACCGTAGATCCATCAAGTACAATATTACAAAAATTAGACCAAATATAAAAACTCACAAAAATCTATATTTGTCAAAAGTTATAGTTAGTAGTTCTTAAGCAAAAGGTCTAATGTAGTTTAGGTTGATCACCAACAATCTGCCACTTCCCACTTATGCAAAGGACAACGAAAAACTAATTAAATTGCAAACTCATGTTTTTTTTTTTAAATGAGATTGAAAAGTCTGATTTTATAAAACTTTTAATATACATAACTATTTTTTTCAAAAAAAAATATTATATGTATTTTTCGCCAACAAACCGTCAGAAAGTACAGTTAGAAAACGAAAAAATTACTTAAAAACGCAAATTTTGAACTAATCGCAGTCAACGATGTCATAAATTTCAGTTAAAATATAAAAAACGAAAAAGAAATCACATATAAATCCAGAGAAAATTAAAGATTAAAGATGGACTTATATAATCTACTATTTAGTGCAACAAATCTAAAACATTTATGTGTTCGATTTTATACAGTTTTTTATATGGGCCAAATCTTAGGCTAAAATCTAAGCCCATAGCAAAATCGTAGCGCAATAAAGGAAATCGTGCCACCGCAATTAATAGTATTGCTAACAACGGAGAGTGGATAACTGTTGTTAGTATTTCATCCGGCTGATTTTTTCAACATCAAATCTTGGCCGCGTAAACTCACTAATTACAGTCTCACATTGGATTTACATAAATGTTTTTTCATTTTCTTTGGTGTAACAAGGGTTATCTATAGACAAATCGCATTCGACATTTGGATTTTGGAAATTCGTACTTTGTAAGCTCTAAAGTAGGATGCACACTTGTTTTTTGATAGTTTTCCAAATATCATATTTTTTCATATGGATATCGGGATGTAGTACTTTTTCAATGTATCCTGGTTATAATAAGGGTATATAACAAGTAGCCTTACCATCAAAGTGGACATTAAACTTGGTTACATTAAAATTCTTCGGTTACAATAGGGGTAACACGGTCAATACATCGTTTGATAATTCTTGTCGAGGAGGATGCGACAAAAGATTTAGCGTATTTGTTTGTTATGCAGTTCGATACACCCACATAAGTTAAAATAAAATTAACCAGTTCGCAGACGTGTGAAACCGGTTCAAGATGTACAACTGTAGTCTACCAAAAATCACTGAAATGATCTCATCACCGTATAGCGTGTGAAACATCCAAAAAACCATAAGGTAAAATTTTCATTTTTAATTTAACCCATAAACACCATTTATTCTTATCAACCATTCAAAAGTATATCAGAGTAAAAATATTTATCAGAGTGCAATCCCAAAATCATAAAGTGTGAAAACATAGGTGGATGTGCTGCGATCAAATCGAACCCTCCCCTTTCGAACTGGAAGTACCTAAAACCATAATCGTAAAAGTGTAAACACAAAACTTAGTGAGTTCCCCAAAATACCAGATACATACATACATACATACATACATACATACATACATACAGCGGGCACCGCCCGACATCCATTGGGCCTCGCCCGGTATTCATCAAGCCCCGCCCGACCTCCATCGGGGCCCAGCCCAGTACAGATCTGTTAGTAACATGCGATGGGCCCCACCCAACACACTAATCAGGCCCCGCCCGACATACATACAAACACATACAATACATGAAACAGTCACACATACATATATCATTCTTGTAACAATAATCTATGGGCCGACATCGGTGCCTTTGACCCGCCAAAAGCAGTGAGGAGACTCACCTCAATCCGAGATCACCGAAACACACACACGTTGCCGCTACCGGGTTCCTCACGCTGAACACATCCAAATTATCCTTAATCAATAACTAAGACAATTTCCCATAAACCAAGGTCCAAATCATATTCTAACATACCAATGTGTAAAAGACTATTTTACCCTTCCTATTGTTGGCCCAA